ACCTGTTTCACCATAAATGACAGTGTTGTAGTAAACGAAACATTTAATCATAAATTTTTAAACGATAAACAACATGATCTTATCGGCGTACATGCGAGATGGCGTGTGCAGGTTCTATATATCAAAGTGTGGCTAGTTTGGTAAGTACGGACTTGAAAAATTATGACACGAAACAAAAGTAAATAATAGCTACAATTGAAAGTGCAGTTTTCCCGTACAATTAAATGATGTTTTGTACAGATAAAGAACAAAATAAAATAAATAAATATTTCCGACACTCACACCAATTAGCCTAGCCCCAAAGTAAGCACTATAAGGCTTGTGTTATGGGATGCTAGGGTAACGGATAGAATACATATATTGTACATATATAAGTATATTTATATAAATACATATTAAACATCCATGACTGGAGTACAAATGCTCGTATTCATCACACAAACATCTGCCCCCACCGGGATTCGAACACGGGACCTCTCGAGTCGGCGACAGCTATGAAACCCGGCGTACAAACCACTCGGCCACGGACGTCGTCATAAATGCCTAATTTCGCCATAATTTGTTACAAGGTTTTTTTTTCTATTGCATAATGGTACGATTAAAGTTGGTCGCTAGCCCGAATACGAGTGCCAATGGAATTCAGGTAAACGACTATGTGTAAATGAGCGGAGTCGAGTACGCCCGTATTCGGTTAGATTTTCTTTTGTTTAACCGACACAGTCTTCCAGCCCGTATTAAAGTATAAATATTCCTTCGGGATGCCCGAATTTAAGTAATGTCTTTTATTATTTTCACCCGAATACGGACTAAAGACCAAATGCAAATGCGGCATAAGTAAGAAAGACGTTAGGGATAGTGGATTTACTAATATTTTTAACTCATTCATTTCATTTTCATTATTTTTTTTTACATTCACACCAATTAGCCTAGCCCCAAAGTAAGCACTGTAAGACTTGTGTTATGGGATGCTAGGGTAACGGATAGAATACATATACTGTACATATATAAGTATATTTATATAGAAATACATATTAAACATCCATGACTGGAGTACAACATGCTCGTATTCATCACACAAACATCTGCCCCCACCGGGATTCGAACCCGGGACCTCTCGAGTCGGCGACACCATGAAACCCGGTACAGACCACTCGGCCATGGAGGTCGTCAAAACTGTATATTAAAACTAATTATTTTTTTAGCTGTGGAGAAAAACTGGCCAAAGAACTTCACAGTGTTAAATAATTTTGTAATAATATTAACAAAAAAAAAATTAATCAACGTATACATTATTTATTTATATTCTTACGGTGTCGATACAAATTCATTTCATCTTCATCATAATTATAGAAAAAGCCTGCCAGAAAGTTTGGAACAGATTAAACCCAAGCATTTTTGTCTAAAATATAATCAGACACTTTATAATAGACTTTATTAATAAGAACTCTTTTTATAGTAGTTTTAAATATATTGACGCTTAATTTTTGGATTGGATTGCTAGGGAGTTCATTGTAGAAGCGTACACAAACACCTTTAAATTATTTATTGATTTTGTGGGGCCTTGTAATTGGCACAGCTAATTTATTTTTATTTCTAGTATTAAGCAAGTGTTAGTAGCTTATCACTATTTAGAGAAAATAATGTAATATTTTTTCGAACATACACTTAATTTTCATAAATGTACTGAGAAGCAACAGTCATTATATCGATTTCTTTAAATTTTTCTATTAAAACGAACGAACGAACGAACAGCCCGCTTTTGCAGCACAAAAATAGTTTGAATGTCAGCAGCATTTCCCCACAGCAAAATACCGTACGACATCACACTATAAAAATAACTAAAATACACTAAGGCTGCAGAGCTCAGTCTCTTCGACAATTTCTCAATATGTGGGCTAAACTGAAGCTTAACATTAATATAATAAAATATATGAAGCTCATTTAAAATGATCTCCATTGACCTTAATCAATCCTTTAAACGTTGAGGCCTGTTATCAATAGAAACACGCACTCTTTCAACGGGAAAATTCTTCACTGCCAATCTTATGGGTTGTTTTTTGCACTTCAAATTATCATGTATTGTCATGGCGTTTAGATCATGTAATAACCTAAAATAATTAAGCAGGAAGTCAGTATAGCATTATATATATTTTTTAATATAATATGCGAAATTCATAAAAAAAACTTAAAAAATTAGAAAAAAACCGGCCAATAAACTGAAATGTGAAAAATAATAATGGTTCCATGCTTACATACATACTTAGTGAATGGGAACTCGGATCTATCAGACATGCATGGCACCGACTCCAAATATTAATTTAACGAAAGGTAAGAAAAGTTTATTATATTTTTATTTTCAGTTTATTCGGCGATTTTTTATTTGTTAGAAATAGTTTTTTATTTTATTTATTTTGTGTGGTATAATTGTTGCTATAATTGTTATAATATATAACTCAGCATCAAAAACTGTGGGTGAACAATCAACTCTATTTTCTCACCCTTAGGGTAGGATGTTTGTTTCCAAATTTGTCTGAGACCAACTTCGAGGTGCACAATTATCCAATAATCAGCAAGAATTATCAAAATCGAACTACTCTATAAAAAAAACCGTGGTCATACATTACAATCAGTCAGTGAACGATCAATCACCCCCTGTTTTTCTACCGATAGAGTTGGATTTTTTTGCCAAATTTTTGTGAGATCAACTTCGGAGTATACTTTTAATACAAAAAGAATTTTCAAAATCGAAGTATTCTGTAAAAGTTATGCGTGTTTATACATAAAAAACGAGTGTTATAACCACACGACTGAGGTGAAACTTCTTTAGGTCCATCTGTATGTATATATATATATATATATATAAGTGTGTACAATATATACATTTATGTATATATGCATATTTCATTTACTAACATTAAGAGAAAGAGAGAAAGAAAATGTGCGCACGCACTGCTTTCTCTTGCTTATATACCCCATTCAACACCCGTTCGCCTCGCCTGATCACACTTTTCGTAACGTGAGCGTGCGTTAAAAGTTTCACCTCAAAAATATACGCATCGACTTGAGACTCGACCTCCGCTATTTTTCGTCGGTTGAAAAGCATTTTTGAGGCACATTTGATTATTACGCAATATACGCAAAATATGTCACTCTCCTTTACTATTTGTATCAGATTCTGTTACACGTGTTCATTTTACACTTCACATAACTCGAAGTTCATGTCAGATATAATAATTAATAAACTTACGTAATTATTTGTCGCAGATCCCGTAACTTATCCACCACAGTTCTCGTTTGATTAAAATGTTAACATTATGCAAAGATACTTACAAATAAACATGAAACTGTCATTTCAAGCAGAATCACACTAATGTTAGAAAGGCGAAAGTTTATGAGTGTGTATGTTTGTTACTTCTTCACATTTATGTGATTAAAAAAAAGGTGTGGAGTTCGCTTACACCCTGGATTAACATATAGGCTACGTTTTACTTTGGGAAAATATACCCAATAAACCGTGGGGTATCAATTACGCAAAAATGGTTTGACATATGAAATTTGGTACACAAATAGTTTATGATCTGGAATAAGACGTGGGACTATATATCCCGGAAGTATGTCAGGTTCTTGAGTAATTCTAGAAAAGCTAAATTTAACGCGGACGAAGACGCGTGTGGCTGCTAGTTGTAATATAAGTGTAATTGTAGTACGAGTTTATCTGTTGCGGCTTTATATCCTTTGCAGCTTAGTTTGGGACTGAGGATAGTAACACGTTTGGGTAATCCAGTGTTTATTCATCATCTTAGTCTAGAACCTAAAAGTAACCGTGCTAGCTATACAGTTGTTATTTTCACAAATTATACTTTCTGTTTTAGTTGCCGCTATAAAAACAAATAATTTAAACCCAATAAAATAAATACTTATGTGGGGCTCTCATACAACAAACGTGATTATTTTGCCGTTTTTCCCCGATATTAATAGCAGCAACTTTTCAAATTCTTAGAGTTTTTAGTTGTATTTACTTTGGAAATAAATAATTGAAATAAATATTTAAGTCGTTTTTTCTCGATATTATAATATAGCGTCTAATATTGTACAGATAATAACGACGACCTTCGTGGCCAAGTGGTTTGTTGTTGCCGGGTTTCAAGGTGTCGCCTATTCGAGAGTTTCAGTCCCGGTGGGGGCAGATGTTTGTGTGATGAATACGAACATTTGTACTCCAGTCATGGATGTTTAATATGTATTTCTATAAAAAATATACTTATGTATCTATGGTATATGTGTTCTATCCGTTACCCTAGTATAGCATAACACAAGCCTTATACTTTGGATCTTGGCTAATTAGTGTGAGTGACGATTATTTATAATATTGTATAGATAATGGTACGGAAGCTTTCGTGTGTAAGTCAGAATCGCACTTAGTCGGTTTTTAGATAATCTTTTAATAATCAAATTGTTTGTCTTTGTGATTAATTTCTAAGCTACGCTGTCATACACAGATACACATGCAATAATATAATACACTTCTTTTACGTCAAGGGTTAAAATTATAATACGAGAATATAATGTAGTATTAAGGAAAACCTCTAATAAAATAATTGATAATGCAATCGAAACAACTTGAATATAAAATTCCTTATTCTAAACTTGGCCTCAGGAAATACTGACTTAAATGTTCGACTGTCACAGTCTTATTTATTTTCTATCAATGTCATATTTTGTATGGAAACTTGAACAGCAGCGCCACAACGGTCGTGACGAGAAATAAAAATCAGTACACATTTGATGTATAAAATAGATCAAATTAAAGAGAGATACACAGGCACAATGAACCTAAAACTAAAAACCTTAAATAATATAATAACTAAAATATATTGTTAAAAGAAGTCCCTTTAGGCAAGATTCCGAAGATATTGGCAGCGGTCCCCCTTTGAATACCTAAACTAATTCTCTGTCCGAGGTAGCTGCCAGCTCTTCAGTCTCCAGTGATGTCGACTTACCTTTTTGATATTTCCTTAAAAAACCTTATAGCGCTAGTACCCCACGGACCAAGGGTCTCGACACCGAATGGGACAAAATCATATTCGGAGCCCAGACCTTTGTATTTGCATGCTTTTGCTTCTTCAGCCGCTTCAGACTTATTGTAGAAACTTGAACATTCAACATCAACTCAGTGTTTATTGTTCTTGAAATAATTTGTTTGTTTTCTCGCAAATTAGAGAAAAGCAAGTGACGGCCTTGTTCAGTTTAAACGTTTTAAAATTAATTGACAAGTACTCAGCTTCGCCTCGTCACTTCAATATTACTAGGCCTACATTCATTCCTTTATTTCAATCCTCGACAGTAATATACACAGTTTGTCAGCTTTGCTAACAATCGTTTTTTATAATTTACTAGCTGACCCAGCGAACTTCGTACCGCTATAAAAATAGGGGCAGGTGGTAGAAGAGATTTAGGGTTGTATGTATTTTTAATATCACATTATAAAAAAATAAATATTGTCCAAAAAAAATTTTAGGGTGTGTTTCAGTCAAAGTCAAAATAATGTCAAATGTCACTAGTTTTTTTTTCTTCTTTCTTTCTTTTTTTTTTTTTTAATTATCCCTATTATGAGATGACAAAGGGATCTAGCCCATACAGCCACGTGTTCATTTTTCTATCTTCTTATTATTATTTTTTTTATTATTTTTTTTTCTTATATGGCTTTATATCTAAATTCTAAACTGAGACTTTTATCGGGTGACATATATGTGTACCTTTTTGTTGTTAGTTTTTCTTGTATAGTGTAATGTGTATTTGTATTTTAATTATGTAACAACTAGCGGATGAACAGAATGTAGCTTATACCCTAGTGGGTATAAACTAGTGTTTATCTTAATATATTTATTACGATACTTATATTACTTACTATTATTATTATTTTTTTACTATTATTTTTGTAGTCGTTTATTTAATATTGGCTATTTATTATTATTGTTATATTTATTTATTATTATTATTTTATACTTCTTCATTATATTATATATATATTGTCAATAAACAATGATTAGCGATATGGATGCTTTAAATGATAGTTCTGATAGCTTTGTATCTTTAAGTAGTGACAGTTTCTGTAGTATCCCAACACTCGGCGAAACTCTAGACGCAAACTTCTCGGATGTTCCTAAAAACTTCAATGTAGTACATATAAACGCCCAAAGCATTCCGGCTCATTTCACCGACCTGCTAGCAAACTTTGACTGTAAGAATATCCATGCTATCCTAATTTCCGAATCCTGGCTCAAGCCATCCTTGCCTTCCACTTCCTATTCTCTTCCAGGTTTCCAACTAATCAGAAACGATCGCTCTGCTGGTGCTGGTGGGGGTGTGGCAATTTACCTTCGAAACCAGATCCCTTTTAAAATAGTCAGTATATCGTCGCAACCACCACCGTCGAACGCTGGTGAACATCTGTTTCTGGAAATCGATTTACACCACTCTAAAACACTCCTAGGTGTTTATTATTCACCATCTAGTCGTATCGACTACTTTCCATCTTTAGAATCGATCCTTGAAAGCCTAACTCCTTCTTGCAGTCACACAATCATCATGGGTGATTTTAACACCTGCCTCCTTAAAAATGACTCTCGATCCTCTTCTCTCCTTTCTGTCATGAATTCTACAAACCTATTCCTACCTTCACTCAATGCCACGCACCATTTCCCAAACTGTTCCCCTTCCCTCCTTGATCTCATATTTGTCTCTTCTTTGGACCTTATCGCCAGACATGGTCAATGCCCTGCCGATGGCTTCTCCTATCATGATGCCATATTCCTGTCTTTTAAAATCCGCCCACCCAAGGAAAAGCCCAAAATCATCCAGCAGCGTAACTTTGGTGGTATGAATGTTGAAAGGCTTCGTAGTGACGCTTGTAACATTGACTGGGCTCCGCTGTTAGCCACCGAATCGATTGACGAAAAGCTTGACATTTTCATGATTGAAATCATAAAGTTATATGATATACATGCTCCAATCCGTTCTGTTAAATTGAAGCATCTTCCATCGCCTTGGCTAACCGATGAAATTAAAAATCTTATAGGCCAGAAAGACCTTGCGAAGTCAAAATACAAGCGTCGATCCACCATTTTGAACAGGGAGAGATACGTCACGATCCGGAATCACTGCAACAAGGTGTGTAGAAATGCTCAACGCCACTATGTTCACAATTCTGTAGAAAACGGGGACCCATCAAGGGTATGGAAGTTTCTTAGGTCCATGGGTATTGGTAAGTCACGCCAATCTCCTACTTCTACTAATTTAGACATTAACGCTTTAAATGCACACTTCTCATCTTCGTCCAATTTTGATCAGACAATTAAAGCTACTACGCTCAACTATTTAAATTCTCTTCCTACACCCAACCGTTCACCCTTTATCATTGATCGATTTACCGATTGTGATGTTAAGAAGAGTATATTGTCAATTACATCTAATGCTGTAGGGTGCGATGCTATAAGTCGAAAAATGGTTATTCCAGTCCTTGATGAAATTCTTCCCATTATCTCCCACCTCCTAAACTGTTCAGTCTCAGATAGTATTTTTCCTAAGGCATGGAAAGACGCTCATATAATTCCCATACCAAAAAAGCCGAATCCTACCTCCTTTTCCGAATACCGACCCATATCCATATTGCCGTTTTTTTCCAAAGTCCTTGAGCGCCTTGTCCACAATAAATTAAGTTCCTTCCTTTGCAAAAATCATCTCCTAAATCCTCTTCAATCCGGTTTCCGCCCTGGTCATAGCACGACTACCGCACTCATCAAAATCACTGACGACGTGAGACTAGGCATGGATAGCGGAAAGCTGACTGTGCTAGCCTTGCTCGACTTTAGCAACGCTTTTAATACTGTTGACTTTGATGTATTGCTCGCTATTTTAAAATCTCTTAACATATCTCCAACGGTGATTGATTTGTTTCATAGTTACCTGTATGGGCGCCGCCAGCGGATTTGCATTGAAGATTCTGTTTCCTCTTGGTGCAGAACAGCTGCTGGTGTTCCACAGGGTGGCGTCTTATCTCCTTTACTTTTCACTTTGTTTATAAATTCTATTTCTAATATTCTAACTTCATCCTACCACCTTTTTGCAGATGACTTACAAATTTATTGCCAGGCTCCATTAAACGAGTTGTCTGAGGCAGTGAATATCATTAATTTGGATCTCTCACATATTTGTGAATGGAGTAAGATGTTCGGCCTAAAACTAAATCCATCTAAAACTCAAGTTATTGTTATTGGCAGCCCTAAAATGATTTCAAGAATTGACTGGTCTCGATTACCAAAAATAAACTTTGATGGCGTCAATGTCACTATTAGCAAGTGTGTTAAGGATCTAGGCTTACATATTGATAGTACTTTATGTTGGGGTCCACAGCTTCAAGAGGTTAGCCGTAGGTTGTTTGCATCTGCAGGATCACTTAGACGTCTTCGTAATTTTCTTCCGACTGCCACCAAAATTGCGCTTGCTGAATCCCTTCTTCTCCCTATTTTAGACTATGCTGATGTCTGCTACCTCGATGTCAATGAAGACCAACTAAATAAGCTTGAGCGGCTTCAAAACTTCTGTATAAGGTTTATATTTGGTCTTCGCAAATATGACCATGTATCTGATTTTCGCACTAAGCTCAAGTGGTTACCTATTCGCCTTCGCCGGAATGCACATATTGTCTCCCTCCTATATAATATTCTCTCTAATCCCAATACCCTGTCCTATCTCAAACAACGTTTTACATTCCTTCAGGACGCTCATTCACGAGATTTGCGATCATCTAGTAATTTGAGGTTGGAGACTCCAATGCATTATACAAAATTCTATAACAAGTCGTTTACAGTGCATGCTGTTAGTTTGTGGAATGCATTGCCGGTCGAGATAAGACGTGCTAAATCTCTGAACATTTTCAAGTGTCTAGTAAAAGGTCACTATCTGTCACTGTCTGTTGTAGAATAGATTCTTCTGTTATTATTAATTTGCTATTGTTTACCATTCATGTTTTCCAAATTGTATTTATAACATTGCGTATGTAGTATGTGTACTATTGTTTATGTAGTATATGTATGTAAATTGTATGTAGGTTTATATATTATGTTATATGTGTGTATGTTTATTCTGTGTTTGTTGTATATATGTATCTCATGTTGTGCCAACTTCCCTCTAAGTTACTAGTTCCATGCTGATTCTGTCCATCCTAAGGTTGCCTGGAAGAGATCGCACACAGCGATAAGGCCGCCCATTGTACCAATTTTAGTATATTTTTGTTTATGTGATTTTATTGTTTGTTGGTGTACAATAAAGTATAAATAAATAAATAAATAAACGTAGTGTTCTATCAATTTCCTGGGATAACATACCTCCTAACCCATAATTATGAGAACACTGCGTTACAATACCCAATAGTTTGAATTTTGGCGCGAAGGCGCATTGTAAGGTTTCAGAACACTACGTTACAGGTGGACAGCCATTATCACTTAAGGATATGAAAAATATATAGTAGCCGATTCTCAGACCCACGGAATATGCTTATAAAATTTCATAAAAATCGGTCAGGCCGTTTCGAAAGAGTATGGTAACTAACATTGTGACACGAGAATTTTATTCATAAGATATACACCCATACTTTACAAGCTCCGTAAAAGATTCTGAAACAGTTCACATATTGCAACATTAAAACATTCACACTTATCCACATTGAATGTATCCTGAGAACCATAACATCGTCCAAACGGATAATATGTTGTATTAAGACTTGTTTACTCCAAATACAAGCAAAACACATTAAATCTTTTTTCATCCCACCACCTCGGAAAGTGTAATTTTGCGCTTCGAAATCTGGCTGGAAAATTCTATTTTATTCGCTTGAGCGGCAAAGTAGATTTGAATTTAGAACATCACATATAATGAGTACTCAATATAATTGTAAATTCAAAACGTCATTAAACCTATTTAATGTAACCTCTATGGTGCCAAATTTATGATTAGAACTTTTTAAATTGTGAAAAAATTTAAATTTGGAACCTTCTTGGTTTCTTTGTTTTATTTGCGTGCTTCGCGCCATTCTAGTTTTTCACGTTTTATTGCTTAATATAATTAACATAACCTAAAAACTGTACAAAAAAATCAACTAAAATGAGTGACATTAGCGACGATGAAGATTATCTAACGCCAACTGAGTTAACTGAAACAGTTAATAATGCGCAAATGAGCCTTCTCCCTCAGCAATCACGAGAGAAGTATTTGAAACAGTACGATATATTTAACATGTGGCGACTAGCTAAAGGAGCAAAAACTTTCTCCGAAAACGTTTTGCTGGCATATTTTATAGAATTATCTGAGACCAAGAAAGCAAGCACGCTATGGAGTACGTATTCAATGCTAAAATTAACAATTAAGATGAAGAAAGACGTTCATATCGACACCTATCATAAATTAGTGGCATTTTTAAAAAGAGCCTC